CGCGCCGCTCGCGCCGCCTCCCTGCGTCGCTGCGCGACCGCCTCGCCGCGCCCGCGTCTCACCGCCTCTCCCCCTCGCCGCCGCAGCTGCTCGACTTCGAGCTGCGCCGGCTCTACGCCGTGGCGTCCCACCTGCACACAGTGCAGTACGGCGCCGAGCCGCCGCTGCCCGCCTCGGTCGACGGCGAGGAGTTCGAGACGCACGCGCGCCAGCTCTCCGTGCACGACTGCTCGGCGTACTACGCGTCGAGCACCTTCACCGGCGACTCGTCGGCGCAGTACGCCTTCCGGATCACCAAGGACGTGCAGAACCGCGACGTGCTCGTCCGCGCCGTCGACGAGGCCGCGTTCGTCGCCTACGTGGAGCAGCAGGCGGCCGCCGCCCAGTGAGGGCGGCCACGATCCGCGTCTGTAGTGGCGCCTCTGGCGCGCGCCGGCCGTACCTATACCGTGCGGGCCATAAGAAGAGCCGTATGTCTCCGGTGCATGACATTCACTTCGCTCTCTCCCCCGCCCATCCCCCCCGTCTCGTGTCTTCTGTGTTTCCGCGCGGTGCGTCCAGCGTCTCCAGTGTGCGAGTGTGTGGTATGTGGTACATTTTCTCGCACGCTTGCTCTCACGATACTTGCTCTCACGACGGGTGGCGCCAGGTGGCTTCGGCCCCTCCAAGCCACCTGCCCCGCCCCCCTCGCCACACTTGTAGGGCTGGAGCACGTGCGCCACCTGGGCCGGGTAGCTGGGCAGGTGGCGCCAGGTGGCTTCGGCCCCTCCAAGCCACCTGCATGCCCCCCCTCGCCACACCTGGAGGGCCGGAGCACGTGCGCCACCTGGCGCAAGTTTGAATTCGGAAACGGAAAATCCGAGCCACGGAAGGGCTGGCTGCCAAACGCGAGCCTCCCCGCTCCTCCCCGCGCTGCAAACTGGGACTGTGGGGTGTGTGAATGAGGGCCTGCGGCGGTCATCGGCGGCTACAATCAATGTCCGGCGTCGACATAAGCCTGGGGCTTCAACCCGGCCCGCGCGGGCGTTTGGTGTGGCTGCAAACGCCGCAGGAGCCGGTGGCTGCGCTGGTCACGCACTGTTGCTGCCGACGCTGAGCAGTCTGACTCGCCAATGAGAAGACTGCCCGATAATACGCCATCACTCGATCACCGATGAACCAGGCCATGCAGAGCTTTGTCGGCCTCGCCGACGTCGCGTGTGCTGGCTGCGCGGTAGAGTTGCGAGAGTGGATTGTGGAGGCGCGGCTGGGCGGCTCGTGGTGCCGAGGCGGTGTATAGTACATTCCTATTCAAAAGAACACGCACGATGAAATTTCCGAAGTGACGCCCAGGTGGCGCACGTGCTCCAGCCCTCCAGGTGTGTGTGGCGAGGGGGGGCATGCAGGTGGCTTGGAGGGGCCGAAGCCACCTGGAGCCACCTGCCCGGGCCCAGGTGGCGCACGTGCTCCAGCCCTCCAGGCAGGTGTGGCGAGGGGGGGCAGGTGGCTTGGAGGGGGGCGAAGCCACCTGGCGCCACCCGAGCGGTCACATGGCCACAGGCGGCGTTTGGAATCTGCTCCAGGTGCTTTTTGCACTGTTTTGTCCATGTCCACAGGCGGCGTAAGCCGTCTGCTCCAGGTGCTTTTTGGACGGTTTTGCTCATGGAGCAAGTGGCTAAAGCCACCTGCATTTTGTGCAAACAGCTGCAAAGGACTCGTGGAGGCACGTGTGGCGCTTTCCGCGTGTGTCTCGTGCAAAATCCGGCATTTTGTAGCTTTCAGGTGGCACGACGCGAGTCAGGTGGTGTGGAGCCTGCTACCTGGGACCATCTATGCCTCCCGGTCCTTGCGGCGGTCCGCCAGGGGGTCGTCGCCGGCGTCGTCAGCCGCGATCATGGCCGTGACGGCCTCTCGCCCGCCATGTGTCGATATTCTCGGTCGATCGATCGCGCGTCCCAAAAGTCGCCAAAAGTGGCGGCGAGTCGCAATCACCCGCCCGCCGTCCCGGCGGTCCCGCAGCTCGCGCGCATCTCCCTCTTAACCCACCTCTAACATCTCTCTAAGAGATCCCTAGACGCGCGGAGGCCGGAGCCGATGTTATCCGATATCCCGCGTTACGATACCACGAAAACGTCGCCGCGGCGTGTCTGCGCCGCTCCAGCAGGGATCTGCCCCCCCAAAAGCCCGAACCATGCGCACGGCCACGAGTGCAGCGAATCTCCCGGCAGCGGCTCGAAGCTTGCGCGCGCCTCGGCGGCGGTGACGTCAAGGTTGGAGCAGAGGCGCAGCGGCGAGTTGGTCGAAGGCACAGGGTCATCGGCGTTGAAGATAGCCCAAGCCTCGTCGGCGCTCGAGCCGAAGCGGGCGACGCCGTACGCCGAGGACGCCCGCGCTAGCCCGCCGAGCCCGCGCGCCGTGAACGGGTCCAGGAGGGTGAGCCTCGTCCTAGCCCGCCCGCTAGCTGGCACGCGCGCGGCGTATACACCCGCGCAGCGGTCAGCGGCGAAGGCACCCACCGACACTCCGATGAGATGGAGCACCTCCAGCCTCGGCAGCCCGCCTGCAGACTGCACGCGCGCCAGCTCCTCGCCCAGCGTCTCGCCGACGCGCTGCGAGTTGAATGGCGCTCTGAGCGTGTCGCCCGCAAAACGGCGATAGTCGTACTCCACAACCTGCACGCCCCTGCCACCAAGCGCCGCCACTATGCGCCGCGTGTTTGCGTCCGGACCTCCTGCACCAGGCAGCAGCACCACCAGCTCTTTCACGTCGGCGGTCACGGCTTCGAAGGCCTTGGGAAGCTCGTCTGAGGACCAGCGTGGTGGTGCACGCGCATACAACTCGCACGCGAATGGGAGGCCGCACAGCGCTCCGGCGCCCTGTAAAAGCCGTGCACGAGATACGGGCAGGCTGGTTAGCACGAGCGCCGAGTGCATATACACATCTTCGCGCTGGGCTAAGCCTGGGCTCGACTCGTCTTTGCCACGTTTGTTGTCTTTTTTTACGAGGTTGCAACCCTTGTTGAGTTATGTATACGCCAACTCAGGGTGTGTGGCAGCCAGCTGGCTGTGTGTCTTGTGAGCCTGTTTGTGTCTGTGTGTCGCTCGTGCGTGTCGTCATCATCTGTCTAGCGTCCACCCATACCGCGTTGGTGTCCAGTCCGAGCCTGGCTGTTATTCACCTTTCTACCTACCTACCTACTCGCACTGTGCTGTGAATTGCGCGCGGGCCTTCTAGGCCCGCGGGTAGTCTCCCCCCATCCCCAGGGCCTCCCGGGCTCGCACCTCATCCTCAACCTCTCACAGACCAGCGCATAGCGCCATAGGACGTATATCGTATTTTCTTCTCATCCTACTCTCTGAATTAGCGGAGCGAAGAAAATTTGATACGGAATACGTCGCTTTTTGGGCCTCGTTTGGAATACGTATTCTGGAATACGTGTGGAATACGGCCGGAATACTGCCAATACGGGTAGAATACAGCCCTAGGAGGGGTCGATTGGAATACGTGGAATACGTATTCAGAGAGTAGGCTTCTCATAACAAGGCTGTGAATCGAGCGGCAACCAACAGCTCTCAGGACCCCCCGGTGCTGGGGTGCTGCCAGCAACCAACCAACTCACCGGCGAGCACGGAGCGAGCCAAACAGCTGGGGCCAAATTCGTGAACTGGCGTGAACGTCAACGCCGCCCGCAGCATCGAGCGGCACGTCCTCCCCACAACCAGCGGCGTGTATTGCACCATAGGTCGTCGGCTTTGCCGACGGGCGACGTGCACGGGACACAGGGACGGGCGAACCACGTACCCGAACAAGCATGATCCAGTTCCAGAGAACGGGGCGTTGCACCTATCCAGAGAACGGTGCGGTGGACCTGGGGCAGCAACCAACAACCTGGATGGGGACGGGGTGCTGCGCAACCGACGCCAACCAGCAGCGTTCACAGCACAGTGCGAAACTAGGGTTGCAACCTGGTAAAAAGACGGCTCGCTGGTGGCACTAACACAAAAGAATTCTGGTTTGCCTAGATCCGAGACCTCGCAAAAGCCCTCGCAGGGGGGTGGGCAGAGGACTCAGAAGAGGCTCCGCCGCGCTCCCGCTCTTGAGGCTGCCGCGGGTGAATTTAGAACACCGGAGAATAATCCATTATTTTACCGCGTCGCGGGGTGCGGACCGCAGCGCGCAGGAGAGACCAGAGCGCGCACAGAGAGGAGTGTGTGTTTGGCTCTTTGGGGTGGTGACCTGGTGAGACTGGTGTGTGAGGTGTGTGTTTCCAGCCCCTGCGCGAAGCGCGTACTCAATTGTAAAGCCAGATCTGCCTTACAGACATCCGAGTTGAAATCACGACGGGTGATTCTCACTATCCACTGGCAACTCACAAGAGTCTCCACACGCTGCACCGCTGTGGAGGGGCGATCAGAGCGCGCACATGCCGCGGCATGGGGTCGCCGTGACATCCCCCGATCCCGCGTGTGCAGGGTGTGAGCCCTGGCCGAGAGCAGTCGGGAGTCTTGTGGCAGGCCAGGAGGTGGTATGAGACAGTCTTTGGTGGTGCGTCTGGGAAATCACGGACGTGCTTGGCGACGAATGCAGGTCATGGATACACCTCTCTGGGAGCATGGGCACATGCGAGATTGCATGGAATCGCTCACAGAGGGGTGCCGCAGCCAGGACAGGTGCAGAACGGTTGGGTGCCGAGCGATCTTTCGGAGGGTCCCACAGCGATTGACTGTTGAGCTGAGCAGCCTGCTACAACGCCGGCGCAGGACGGTGATGGCAGCCTGAAGGGCGAGGGCCCTGGCGATGGCGCCGATGCGGCTGAGAAGGGCGCCGCAATCGTTGCGAGGGCTCTGCGGAGGACGGCTGTCGCATCGTCAATGGAAGTGCGCGTGCAAAGCCGCGCGTCGGTCTCCATATCTTGGATGAACCGGGCCACTACGTTTCATTCATTATTCGACCTATTGCATATTCAGTAGGCAAGGAGAGTTGGAGTATTTTCTTACTTCTACTTCGCGGAGGCTGTCCAGATACTGGGATACTTCGCAGCAGGCCTCGAATACTGGGATACTGTGAAAGATTTCCCTGTGAGATATGGCGCAGTAATAATACTTCAATACTCCGAGTTGGTACCGCAGATACTTCGATACTCGTGTTGACGCACCCGGTGAGTATCACAGTACTCGATCCACGCCGGCGAAGTATCCCAGTATCACAGAGCTAAATGCCAAGTAATAATACTGCAATACTGGGCGCTACTTGGTCCTCCAGCCCCGCCGAGTATCCCAGTATCCGCATCAGAGATGGCCAGTATCCAGCAGTATCCCGCAGTATCCTGCAGTATCCTGCAGTATCCCAGTATCCGGGGTCGGCCCTCGAGCGATGCACTGCGCTGCGGCCGCAGTCGTACGTCCAGCAGCGGGATGCGAGGCAGCAGCTAGGTGGGGAGGGATTGAGCCAATTGAGCAGCGTGGGCAAGCGAAGACTGCCGTAAAGTGTGTGCCCGCGCCCTGCCGGCGCAATGGTGTAAACGCGTGTGCAAGGGCTGGCGGGGTGGGGAAGGCGGCAACGCAACGAGGTGGGCGAAGACGGCTGAGGCGCCAGTGCTGGAACTGAGGGAGAGTGTCGTGGCAGTGCACTGGTGCTGGTGCTGTGTGGAGAGGAAGACCCACATCGGGGAGGCGTCACGGCCAACATTGAGAGCAGCAAGGTGGTCACGTCCTGCGGCGCACGCACAGGAATCATAGTATATCACACAGCAGCTGTGCCGTAAAAGGGTCCCAGAGCTATCTCGGTGGCTAGGGGCGCTGGATTGGCTGGGCGCGTCAGCTCCCACAAGCGCACTGCATGCGATATCAACGTTGTGATGCAGCGTCAGCCTTGGCAATTGAAGCTTGGCGCCGGCACGCAGGAGCACCAGCGTCTGCAGCGCTTGAATGGCGTGTGCAAACTTTTGCATCTCAGGCGGCCGGGCGTCGCGGCGCCCTCTCGCAAGTGCTGTGACCCAGGGAGGGCGCGTGAAAGTGTAGAACGGTCGAAAAGTTCGAGCGTCATTCATGTCGCCGAAGTTCCTTCGATGTCTCCTCCCGCCAACCCCAACCAGCCCCGCACGACCCCAATCGGCCGCACACCGCCACACAGCAGGCTCTGGTGACCGACACAACTCTTTGCTTGGCGCCGGACCGTCTCGAGTGAACCCACCGGTGTGGGCGCCGCCGCTGAGCATCACGGCAAACGGGTGACGGACCTACACATAAACTGAATCACCTCGGCCGACCATGCCGCTGCGGTCGACGATGTCGGATGCTCTCGAGCACTCTCCAGCGCCGGGCGCGGTCCTGACACAGCCGGCCGTGCTTCACCGCCGCTGTTCAGCTCGGCGGCAGAAATGGCAGCGGATACGAGCTCTTTACCGACTACCGAGCGGCAGTCGGAGAACTCGTGAGCTTCCACACATCACAACTCCTGCCGATGCATTCTGGAACAATCACATAACGCCTGGCATCACCACAGCCCACTTGCGACATTTGTGGCCCAAGCCGGTCCGCAGTATCCCAGTCTCCCAGGATCCGGTATCCACATCAGCCAGGGATGCTCTAGGGAGGGGTGCAGCTGCATGGTGACAACTACCAGTGAGAAGGATGGGGATGCAGCTGGCTGCTGGACCATGGCTTACACACGGGCACACTTCCATGAATTGCCAGTATCCAGCAGTATCCAGCAGTATCCCGCAGTATCCTGCAGTATCCCAGTATCCGATGCGCCGGCTCCGAGTATTGCGGTGAAAATACTGCGCGATACTGCCATGGCCACACTACTTCAGTAACACAGTATCTGCATGCCCCAGGCCCAGTATTGCAGTATCACCCTCGCGGCAGAGAGGTATTTGCGCCACCGATACTTGGCCTTCGCTTGCGGGATATTGGGATACTTGGCCAAGGGCCGTGTGCAGGTAGCATGCAGTATTGCAATAAAAATACTTGCTTTGCGTGTCTGAAATACTGGAATACTGCGCCACAGCACCTCAGATACTGGGATACTGGAAATACTGTGAAATACTCCAACTCTCCTTGCCTACTCAGTGTATGTAGTGACAGGGTTTGCGATGAGGAGCGACTCCGAAGGGTGTTCGGGTTCCGTGACCACTAACTACCGCCGAAGCGCCCCCCCCGGCAAGAGAACTGCGACGCATCGGTCTCATACATACTAGCACCCCATCTCGCGAGCCGATCTTCTGGCTCATGATCAACGAGGTTGTTGCGGGGCACCCGGCGGCTCGGGTCGCGCGGAAGGAAAATTGGAACTATTTTCCAGCAAAAGGAAGCGGCGACGTCCATTGCAGGACACATCGACAGCCGCCGTCGAGATGACGGATGTCATCCCCCGCGCCGCCCAGGACAAGCAGGTATGATGGCAGCGGTGGGACGCGAACCCAGAATTAGCTGTGCTAGTTACGTCCTTGCACTCGTAGGTGAACAACGGGATTTACGTTCAGCCGACCGAGGACGGGAATTTCGGTCTGGATAAAGACATCGCAGACAACGTGCGTTTGCCGCGTAGCCCTATCTCACGACGATCGCCCTGTTGAGCCTCTGCCGATCACGATGGTAGGCCAAGAAGAAGTACGACATCGCTAAAGAACAGGAAGTGCGCACGTGGATCGAGAAGGTCTTGGATGAAAAGCTGGAGGACGGTCTGGGAGCCCTTGAGTTCCAGAAAGTTTTGCAGTCGGGCGTCGTCCTATGCCAGCTCGCCAACAAGATCAAGAAAGACGTCTGCAAGTGGCCTCGGTCAACAAGCCAGCCGGCCGTCCAGAGAGAGAACATCAGCTTCTACCTGAAGGCCTGCGAGAAGCTGGGGATGACCGACAACTTTATCTTCATGACTGACAACCTGTTCCAAGAGAGTACGGGAAAGGCCTCGCCTGCCCAGATGCTGCAAATATCCACACCCTTACGCTGCGGCATGATCGGATAGGCTCAGTGTCGTCATGCATGGCCACATCCCTCTCGTTAGGTCGAGCTGGCAATGATGTCCGTGATTAACAACCTTCTCGAGCTCAAGAAGATTGCCGACAAGTCCAGCCCGGCCGCGTGATGTCCTTGCTGTATGGCAGGTCTTGCACGCCGAGTGGATACGGCGAGACTTGACTCCAGCGGCTTGCTTTTGAGGCCCTTGTTTCGGATCCAGTGTCGATAACTCAGAGAAGACAGGGCAGAGAGAATGAGGGAGAGGTGGGGGGCGGAGACCATGAGCTTGAGCTGGAGGGTAGACACAGCGCGCGAGCGGGCTCTCCGGGCTGAATGATGCAGCTGACCTCCCTCCTTTGGGCAAGAAAGATTTCCCCTCGAGGATTTCCCAGATGCACCAACCACGCACAAGCGCAGGTACGTAGTAGACGCTGCGTTTTCGAAAGGCGCTTAGGGAGGAGTACAGCGACAGAGTTGTGTGTACAGCGACACTATGCACTGGTCCGTGGTCGCGGGGCCCGCCCGGGGGTATACACAATCCAATCGTTGACAGGATTCCAAATCAACATCGCTCGTAGATGAGAGCACGAACCGCAAAACCAAAAGTTGCGCACTACTCAAAACTCTCCACATGGACCATGCCGCGGTGCCACGCACAGGCGCGTGCTCGTACCCCGCACACACCTCCGGACAAGCCCCGCAAGACGCTCCCACAAACCACCCTCCCGCTTCATGCTCAACGTGCAAGACCGTGCGCACACCTCGAGGTAGCAGCCGGAGGCGCGCCGGCGCCCGCAAAGTACTACTTGGGCTCGGCATCCGGACGCTGTCCCCCCTCCCCTCCCTCCCCGCCATGCTGTGCAGCGGCATCAACCATGCCCACAAGTAATCGTACGGAGCGCCCCCCCCCTCCCCCCTCCACGCGCCCCCCGGCCAGCAGCGCGCGAGCCGCGCCCCTTTCGAGACTCAGGGGCGGCCAGCGGCTCACTCCGCCTCGTCTCCGCCCGCGGCGATCTCCTCCCGCCCGCCCTCTTGCCGCTGCGCTAGCCGCGCCGCTTTTCTGGACGCCGCAAGCGCTCGCTTGGCCTCCTTGGCCGCCGCCTTGGCCTTCTTTGCTGCGTCGCGCTCCCCTTGGCGCGCCTCGTCGGAGGCCTTCAATCTGGCGTTCTCCACCACCTTCGCCGGATTGGAGACCACGTCCCGCAGCATCGCGACCAGCGAGCCCGCGAGCGGTTCAAAGAGCTTCTCAGGGTCCTCGCCCTCAACTCCGCGCGAGCACACGTCGAGCGAGCGGACGAGGGCGGTCTCGAGCTGCCGCAGCATGGCCTCCACGTTCACCAGGTCTGGCGATAACCGCGAGAACACCGGCTCGCACAGCGTCTGCAAGAAGGCGAATGTTCTTGGTGAGAGGCATTCTCGCAAGGATGACGTTACGGCCGCGAGTTTGGTGCCGGTCAGGTCGACGTCCACGTCATAGCGCTCTTGCAGGTCGAGAGACATCTGAACCGCGTCGTAGGGGGGCGCCTTGCCCCCCCTCGAGGGCGAGTCGGGCAGGCTTTCTCTGAGCGAGGCGGTGTCCAGCATGCTCCGCGGCGAAGTGCCGACCCTCTTCTGTGAGGTGCAATGAGTCTTTTTCTTTTTTTTGCGTTTTTAAGAATCTCTCTTGACCTTTCTTCCACTAGATTCTAGAAGATGTAGGATTGCGAGCGTAGGCGCTCACAATCGCACAGAGATGCTACGATTGCGAGGAGTGCTGCTCAAAACACAAAAGCCTTCGACTTCTAGGAAGTAGGATTGAGAGCGAGGCTGCTCTCAATCCAACCTTTTTCAATCGTCTATCTAGATACTAGAAAAGAAGGTTCCACACCAGCACTGTGCCATTTGTAGTGGTGCCAGTCCGAGCCAGTCAGTCTGCTGTGTCCTTGTGAGGCTGAGGGGGGTATTGTTGGAATTCTTAGGGGTGCCGTCGCCACCTCAGATACATACGTGAAATACCTGGCCGAAATAAGGCGCCCTTCGCTCAGTGGTCCTCAGAGGGGCGCACACCGCTGACCCCCCCCCCCCCCCCCCGGGCCAGGCCCCAGCTGTTACTCGTGCCTGTCCCTCCGCCCCCCGCCCCGACCGCTACCTACAACCCCCGGCCGAATCTCACGCCAGCCCTCGTCCCGCCGGGCCAGCGGAGACGGCCGGGTCACTATAAGGGATCGACGAGGACTCATCGCGTTCCGTCTTTCCCGATATCGTCCCGTCGGCGACTGCAACTTGGCGCGCTCCGGCCCACCGCCTCGTCCGACCGCCGGGCCCTCACTCGCCGGAGCACCACCAGCCGCACTTGGCCTGCAGCGAGGGCGAGCGCCGGTGGGCGGGGTGGGGGAAGGGGGGGGTGGGCTGGCAAGCCCGAGGCCGGAACGGTCCGAGGGGGAGGCAGCAGGGCAGCGGCATCCCCCGGAGGGGGGGTGCTGGACCGGCGCCTGGAGCCTGGCAATGCGCAGGTTTGCGTCGTGCAGCTCCATCTCCCGCGCCTGCGCCGTCCCGCCCGGGCGAGTGAGCGCGTGCCCACACCGACATCCCCTCGGGCGGCACACCTGCAGCTGCGACTCTGCCACCGACACGCGGCCCTCGCGCTGCTGCCTGTGTGCGAGAGGGGGGGGGGGGGGGGGTAAGGAGAGCTGTCACCGGGCAGGCGCCGCGAGCCAACTGATGCCCTCCCCACCATCTCGAGATGACCCGTCCAGGGCGGAGGCAGGACGCCTCTGTGCTGCCTCTGTGGCGGGAGGGCGTCTCTCGGCTACCCCCCTCGCATCGGGCGCACGGCGTGAGCGAGGCTCTCGGCTCTCGGCTACCCTCGGCTACCCTCGGCTACTCTCGCACATGTTTCGCGTGAGCGAGGCGAGGCGAGCCTATTGAGCCACACAGCAGGCCTCACCACTGCAGAGGCATCTGGGCTCTAGGGCGGAGGAGGGGCGCACGGAGTCGGCGGCGGCGTTGGAGCGGCAGGCCTGGGCGCGGCGAGGCAGCGGACGTCAGTGCGAGACGGCCTGGGGTGGCTTGTGTGTGGGGTGGCTTGTGTGTGTGTGTGTGTGAAGGTGGAGGTGGAGGCGGTGGCGGGAGGCGGTGGCGGGGTTGGGTGGGGAAAGGTGCTGGAGCCGGCGGGCGTGTGTGAGTGGGGAGTGGCGGCAGCGAAGGAGGGCGTGGAGAGCAGCGTCGCGGGGAAAGGCAGTCGGTCGCGCGGTGGAGAGTGCTGGTGTAGGTCGAGCTCGTAGTGCGGCTCGCCTCGAGCGCCGCGGTGGAGACTGCGGCAGGAGCGGCTGGTGAGGACGCAGTGCCGAGGCATTGGATGGAGAGAGTCGGCAGGCGTGCCCGGCCCACGGCACGCCCCAGGGACGGTGCGTCGTGCATACCCAACCCCTCCCAGGGCTGCTTGGCACCTGCAGATGAGGTGGCCGCGCCGACGATGAATGCGAGAGGCAGACCGACGGCAACCAGCAGCGCCTGAGGACGTCGGTAAGGAGTGCCAATGACCGTCTGTAAGAGTCTCTGGGGCAAGGAGGGCCGCGAGGAGCATGCCACACCTGGCGAGAGAGTCCGCCAATCGAGGAGGCGGGTGAAGAGGGAGAAGCGGCCTTGCTGCCAGAGGCACCGCCGTGGTCGGGCTTTGCGGCTTGAGTGTCGCACGCCGGCTGAGGCTCGTCCGGGCCTGGGCTCGGCGAGCGGCTCTGGTCGTCGACCAGCTCCCCGTCGGAGTGCTCAGAGGAGTGCTCCGACATGCAAAACGCTCGAGAGGCCGGGCTGGAGTGGAAGGATGGGGACAAGCTTCTTTCGGCGGCGAAATTCTTACTCTCAGTGTGTGTGTTCTCAGGTTCTCGAGGTGGATATCCTTTGGCCGCGTTGGGTAGCGTGTGTGTGTGCCAGTCCGCGCCAGTCCGCGCCCTTGTCGTGCCAGTGTGCTGTGAGAGAGGCTTGTAATTCTGTTTCTTATCTTCCTATGAATCCAATCGCGAAATTCGAGGACTCCGGCGAGTTGCCTCCCAAGGCGGAGTTGCGCGAGCACATGATGGTTCGCGCCGCGCTGCGGTACAGGGAGGGTGGGCTTGGCAGCCTAGAGAGAGAGATTTTTAGCAATACCAAACAACTCTAACACTCACACGTCATTTGGGGCCTGGATGGAGCCCCTGCAGACTGTAGTTTATGGTGGTTTAGAGTTTGCGGGGGGGGGACAGATTTGGGCGGTCGACTTCAATTGATTGCCCTGTTCACGCGCGCGCGAGACGTGCAGACAGGGTTGCCAGGTGAGAGCGAATGGCGCGGTTCACGCCTCGCACAACAGAGAGAGAGATGCGCTCTGCATGGTGGGACATAAAAGAGAGCGAGTACTTGGGCGAGTAGGCCGTGCGGTCGACGCTGCCGCGCGCGACTTTGCGCGCGAGGCGGCGCAGCTTGAGAACGGCGGTGGGCGAGAAGCCGCCGCCGAACGTCTCGTGGAGCAGCAGGTTGAAGTTGTTGCGCTTGACAAAGATCGCGTCCTGAGGGAGGGTGTAGAGGATGTAGAGTGTAGAGCGCTGTAGAGCTGTAGAGATGTAGAGCGCTCTGGAGCGCTGTAGAGCTGTAGAGCTCTACATCCGCCGCGGGACGAAGCGCCTCCGTTGTAGAGCGATGTAGAGCGCGATTTTGCTGTAGAGTTTGTTGTAGAGGCTCTACAGCCAAACCGCCGGGAAGGCAGTGACTCAAAGAGGTCAAGCCGCGCTAATGGGGGGTCTCCGAGCTTACTGGAGCTCTGATGGACAGCCCTGACTATCCCTGACACACAGAGAGTCACTCCGACGGCACACAACACCCTATAACTGCGTCATGACCAGCCTGCCATGTGTCGCCGGTGCCGCATTCGTCGCTGTGCTTCTTTAGCAGGCGGTGGACTGTCGGCTGCGAGGACGGTCGCATTTGCGCGAGGCGAGGCGAGCATTCAGACGCGTTGCATGCGCCATGCCTCGCGCCAGCGCGTGCGGGAGCTCCTGGCTGAGCGTTGAGTCCAAGCGAGTTGCGCTGGCCACGATCGCTACGCCGAGCCGAGCTGACGCGTCGAGGCGCCGGCCAGTCGCAGCCGTGAGGCATGCCACAGCAGCAGAGGCACCTGCCACCCATTGGGCGGGCAGACAGAAGGCCAGGGCAGCACTGGCAAGTGCAACGCGCCTCATGTCGGAGAGCGACCGTGCCTCGTTCGCCGCTTATTGCAATATGATGTAGAGTTTGTTGTAGAGATTTCACGTTGTAGAGCGCCTCTACATCGCTCTACAACGGAGGCGCTTCGTCCCGCGGCGGATGTAGAGCTCTACAGCTCTACAGCGCTCTACAGCGCTCTCCAGCGCTCTACACCTCTACAGCTCTACAGCGCTCTACACTCTACATCCTCTACACCCTCCCTCAGATCGCGTCGTGGTAGAAACCGGTAACCGCGATGCGCCTTTTCGTTTTTTGTTGCAGCCTACCATGGCAAATGCCCGCCGGGCGCCGGCACGTTTGTTCTTTGACGCTCGATATCGAACAGGTGGTCCACACTCTTAAGACTTAACGCGCAGTGTTGAGTGGAGAGCTCCCGCCGGTCCTTCCTCTTTCTTTGACTCTGCTCTCTGGCTCCCAACCACCCTAACCACGATGGTTGCACTTGGAGCACTTGGAGTGCAGTCGGTAGCCTCACATCCAGGGCCGGGGAGCTAAGAAGCGCACCCAGCGGGCCAGACGATCGGTATCACGAGAAAACATATCTTTTGTCCGACGTCCGTCCTCCTCCTCGGACGTCGGGCAGACATGAGCGACGCGGTGAAGCTCGTGGCGGCTGCCGCGGCAGGCGGTGCCGCCACACTCCTTCTGCACCAGGTTCTCGCTGGCGGCTCGTCTGACGACAGCCCCTACCACCATCTGGACAGCGTCGAGACACGAGCGTCCAAGCGCGCGACTATGCCAAACAAGAAAGGGTCACGGGTGTACAAGGTGTCCGGACACCTTACCACCTGCACAGTCCGGAATCAAGTCCCTGCGGATCCCAATCGCGCTCACACACAACAAGCGTGCGTGTGCATGCGTGCGTGCGTGCGTGGCTAGGTGGTGCTGACCGGTGGGCCGTGCGGCGGCAAGAGCTCCTCGCTGGAGCACCTGACCAAGGCACTCACTGCGAATGGGTTCGACGTGCTTTGCGTGCCAGAGGTCACATCGGCTCGCGGCGCCGTCGAGCCGATGCGTCGGCTGCCCATCCGGGTGACCCCAATCGCAGGTGCCAACCATCCTGATGAACGGCGGGTGCATGTATCCGGGGTTGGATGGTGGCAAGGCGCTGGTGGAGTTTGAGACGGGGCTGATCCAAGCGCAGCTCCAGCTCGAGAACAGCTTCACCCAGATCGCGCGCTCCACCGGCCGCCCCACCGTCGTGATTCTCGACCGTGGTCTGCTCGACGTGGGGGCCTACCTGCCTCCAAAGGTGCGGCCGCCAAAGCCCCCACTCCCATCGACCCGCCCCGCCTGTGGGGCAGCACCTCCGGCCCCGGCGGCGGCAGGTGTGGACGGACGTCATCCTGAAGGAGAATGGCATGACGGAGGCCTCCATCGCGGCGCGTCGCGCGATCTTTCAGCACCTCACACGCTGGGCCGTGTCTGAGACACGTCCCAAGGACGTCCCGTAGACGCGCTACGACCTTGTGCTGCACCTCGTCACTGCGGCGGACGGCGCCGAGAAGTTTTACACCACCGAGAATAACGCGGCGCGCACCGAGACGGCCGAGCAGGCGCGGGAGCTCGACCTCAAGATCCGGAGCTGCTACAAGGCGCACCCCAAGCTCGAGGTGATTGGCGTTGCAGTAGCCTTAGCTTTCTGGGGGGGGGGGGGGGGAGGGGTGCAATAGCCATCGCGGTCCTGTCCCAGATGGCACCCCCCGAACTGCGCTGAGCGCTTCTTGCCCTCCCCTATCCCATCCCCAGGTGATTGGCAACACGGGCAGCTTTGACGCGAAGCTGCAGAGCGCGACCAAGCTTGTGCTGCAGATGGTGGGGTCTTAGTGGCGAGCTCCGGGCGATAGATTGCAGCGCGCGCGAGGCCATTCTACAAAGCTCAATGAGGACCAGAGAGGGAGAGAGCAGGGGAAGGTAGAGAGCGCCTGTCCGTGAAGCTGAGTAGCGGGTGAGCTGACACGCTGACACCGCGCACAAAAACACAAACTCCAGGCCCCAAATGATGTGTGAGTGTTAGATTTGTTTGGTATTGCTAACACAGGTACACCGCGCGCTCCTTCATTCCATTTCTCATGTGCCCCAAAAGAGAGAACATCGCGAATTTCGCGCCGGCGGCCGGGTCTGGCAAAATTCTTGAGCATCGTTTTCTTTCTAAAGAAAGAAAGAAAACGGACAAGCCTGGGGGAGGAGGACAGGGTCCCCACCTGCACGAGCAGGATTTTGGAAGGACGATCAGGCGCACAGGTGGGGCTCTCCTCGTTCGGCCGGAGCGTCCTGGGCGGGCAACGCCCGCCCCGGCGGCCGACTCTGGGATTGTAGGTCGAGTCTTGGGGTGGTACGGAGACGGTCACGAGACGGGACGGACGGAACCTCCGGACTCTAGGACGACGCCACGGGACTCTAGGAGAGAGAGTGTGTGAAGGGAGTCTGGGCGGGGCTTCGGCCCGACGTCCCTCCCCTCGACGAGTCGACGTACGGCTCTAGTCGAGTAACCGTAACTCTCGCTTTGTCAATCTCTTCGGACCTTTGATGTGAGTCAGGTCGGAGTCCATCGGCGGAGTCGTCGACATCGTGGTCGACGGGGTGTGCGAACCGATAGCGCAGTGGCGTGTGTCGGCGAGCGAGCCGAAGGCGCGCGAGAGAGAGAAATCCCTCGTCGGATTGGTCGACATTGTGGTCGACAGTAGAAGGAGGGTCGACATTGTGGTCGACAGTCGCCCGCCGCTGCCATGCCGGAAGGGCAGGTCGAACCAATTGCGTAGCAGTCGTGTGGATCACCGGTATTACATACGCCCTGGCGAGCTGGTGCATCCACTTGGTTACCACGTTCGACCGCCGCTACCACGTTCGGCCGGAGCGTCCTGGGCGGGCAAACGCCCGCCCCGGCGGCCGACTCTGGGATTGTAGGGAATTCATTGTAGGTCGAGTCTTGGTGGTACGGAGACGGTCACGAGACGGGACGGACGGAACCTCCGGACTCTAGGACGACGCCACGGGACTCTAGGAGAGAGAGTGTGTGAAGGGAGTCTGGGCGGGGCTTCGGCCCGACGCTCCTCACCTGCTCCTGACAAGGGACACGACAGGCTCGCAGCGCGGTGCACGGTTTGACCCCAGTCAAGGTTATGGGAGCGGCCATAACAGGTGTTATGGCTGTTATGACTGGTTGCTCATAACACCTCATAACACCTCATAACACCTCATAACACCTCATAACACCTCATAACACCTCCATCGCTGTTGTGGCTGTTATGCCCACCCTACCATAACACCTCATAACACCTCATAACACCTCATATAACACCTCATAGCACTCATAACACCTCCCAGCTCCCACTGGTTGTTATGACAGCCAGCATAACAACCTCATAACAGCTGTTATGGGTGTCCCACGGAGTCTTTTCTTCTGGAGCCCCGCCGCGCGGACCCGGTGTTTCTTCGCCTCGGTAAAATTCTTCTTTTGGAGCGCCCGCGCCCCGCCCCGCGCCGCGTAGGCCGTAGCTACTACCCCCTCCAACGTCACGCAAGTTTAACTACTAATCTTGTGCGAGCAAGGCTTGCTCGCAGAAGATTAGTGCTTAAAAACGCGAAAAGCAAATTGCGTGCAACTGGGAGGGGGGGGGGGGGGGGCAGTGTCTTCAGGGGTCTTGATTGTGAGCAATCTGAAGCCATCGCTCAGGCCTCAGGAGAGGCAGGTTGATGTTATTGAATTTAACTTGAGGGCAAAAGAGAAAATAGTTGGCGATCGATGCCGAACCTCGCGCGCGCGAAGGCCGAAGCGAAAATTCCTCCGACGGCAGTTCGGTGTGGCCTCTCGGGCCATAACACCGTGGACCCGGGACGGCTCTCTCATAGGACATAGCAGCCCGGCCCCATAACAGCCATAACACCCATAACATGTTATGGGCTGCTATGCCCAGAGAGCCATAAGCCATAACCAATAACAAAACTGTGAGTGGGAGGGTGCACACGGTGGACTCCCAACTCCACTGGCGGTAGTCTCATCTCAGTCTAGCGACCTGCCTCCAGCTTCTCACTGGCCGTCTCTCGCTGCCACAGGGACACTGACAGGGGTGGAAAAAAGGAAGAAAACACAGAACCCAAGGGAGGGATGGGAGGACGGCACGCCGCCACCACACAGGGATTTTAAGGAGAGGGGTGAGGTGCACTAGCCGTCGCCCACCCTTGGGCGTCCGCCTCTTCCTATCTCTCTTCGCAGTCTCTCTCCGATTCTCGCTGCGACCTTCGTGCCACCTCGCGGTCGCCCCCTTCTCGTCGTGCTCTCCCTTGTCGCTTCTTCCTCTGTCGCGTCGCTCTCCTCTGTCTCGTTCTGCGACGCCGCCGCCGTCTGCCGGTCCCTTGTTCTCGCGGCTTCTTTCGCCTTTCGGCGCAGCTCCGCCCTCCTCGCTGCATATCCTGGCCCCTCGAGTCTATCGAGCTCTCCTCGCGCGCAAGGACGAGTCTTCTGACGCCCACTGCGATCATTTGCCACCCAGTCATATCATTGCTCAGGTCCACTCTCTCTTCGAACACTTGTGCCTTCACGGATGAAGCCGGCGCTGGGGTCCCCTTCGGGTGCATCGTGACGGCTGACAACGGTATTTCCACTGGTTCGTCCTCCTCGGAGTCGTCTTCCCCCGTTTCCCTCCGCTCGGCTCTACGTTCGGAACGTTCGGTGTGGCTCACCCTCCATGCCGTGAAACAGGCGCTTTATCCACCCTATATGAGAAGGGTGGAAGGCGGCCGGGGTCTGTTCGGTTTTTCTTCTTGCGGACTCTGCAAAGAGCGCTGCCATGCCCAGCGAGCCGCACGTTGGCTCGGGCGGCTTGACGCCGGGGGCGCCCGTGCAGGCCCCCACTCTTCCGCCCGCCGCCCACCCGCCCACCCCCAGGACCGCCCTCCCTCAAAACCTCGATCCCCGAACATGATGACAGCGAGTCGCCACGCCACAGGATGTGCCACCGCCGGGCGGCTTCAAGCCGGTACGTTACTCGCGGAACCTGCCCAAGGGAGGGCCGTCGTCGCTGGTGATCGCACTCGGCTCCGCCGCCCTCTTCACATTCGGCATGTACAAGGTCATATCCGCCAACCGGCTGCGCCGGTTCGCGCGGGCCCACTCGCGCAACGGAAATGCCCCGCTGCCGCGCGCCGAGCGCCGACCTGTGCGCCACCAGGTCATGGTTTCGCGAGGAGAAGGACATACGGCTAGCGATCCTGCCCTTTCTGACGGCGGAGTCCGACTTGCAGTGCGCAGACGCCCCCCGCGCTGTTTAGACGCCGCATGTGCGGCGCGCGTCTCCCCTCCCGCTGAGCGTCCACTCCACCCGCGCGGCAGGCAACAGCACATCAAGAGCACGCTCACCCAGAAGGAGGCGGAGCTCATGGCGAGCGTCCCTGGCTGGGAGGCGGGTGCGAGCGTCTACCACTCGCGGTACATGAAGCCGATGGAGAAGATTGGCGTTCCGCAGTCCCAGAAGAGCATCTTCGGCGCCACCTCGTGATCGCCGACCGCTCGTCTACTACTCTTATAGCGTTAGCACGGCACTCAGGGCCGGTGGATGTTGGCGGCGGGCCGCTCTGACCTCTGTCCGCTCTCGTCGTCGTGCACCCTCTCGAAAAGCGCTCGGGCTCGCGGCGCGTGACTCGCTCCCAGCACGCTTTGTTCATGACATAGTTTTTTCTTTTCATCTCTCTGGACTCTGCTCCCTACTCCCACCCACCACCCTCTCTACACGTCTCAGCTCTATCTCGAGTCTCAAAGAAAGAAAGAAAACAGCGACACCCGACACCCCAAGGCCAAGCGCCAAGGGAGGGATGAGAGGACGGCACGCCGCTACCACACAGGGATTTTAGGGGAGAAGTGTGGTGCTAGCCGTCGCCCACCCTCGGGCCTGCAGCGGGCGTCTACCTCTTTCTATCTCCCTTCGCAGTTTCTCACCAATTCTCGCAGCGACCTTCATGCCACCTCGCGTTCTTCCCGCTCTCGTCGTTCTCTCTCCTGCTGTCTCTTCCCCTGACTCATCGCTCTCCACGGCCTCGTTCGGACTCTGTCAATCTTCGCTGTGCAGGGATGCCTAGGCGTGAATTCACCGCCCTAGAAATAAATTTAAAACGCGTTTATTGCCTGTTTAGCGCCGATCTTACAGCTTATTCGAATGTCTTCTTACGTTGCTTCGTGAGCGATTCAGCCGTCATTTCCCCTCCTTTCACCCGCTCTTCCCCCGCCTTTCAGCCGCCATTCAAGCAACGTTGAAACGCGTTTCACAAACATGTTTTCCGCTCTTCGTCAACACGGTTTGCCTTGAAGTTACCGCACCGACGCTAAATTCAAGCCCCTTCAAGCCAATTTATGGATTATGGGCAGGTGGGCAGGAACACTGCTGCTGCTAAGCACCCGCACCGCCCAGTGAGTAGTGTCGCGGGCTAGGATAAGGACCATGATCTGGCTTCCACAGATCCCACATTTCATGATGAGGGAATCAATGCCGAGCAGCTCCGAGTGCTGCGAAGAGTGCAACAGCACAGCTTGCCAGGCCCTGCTTGCACGCGATGAGACGGTGGAACCCTGCTTGCACGCGATGAGCAAGGGCTCAGCCATGCGTCCTCGCCCCGCGTGCCTATGCCACGAAACGCGGAAGAAGAATTCACCCGCGGTGCGCGCGAGGGAGTTTTGTTGTCGTAGTGGCAAGACGTGCTCTCGACAGCTAAGGGCTAAGTAAGACGCGCTCATTGTTGCAATGTCATTGAGGCAGGAAAGAGCTCGCCGAGGAGTCGAGGGCTCCCGACCACGCCGGACCCAGCCAGGATAAGGCACGCTTGCCTTAAACTGCCATGAAGAGCACTAAATGTGCGATAAAAAATCTGTTGAAAGCGCCACAAAATGTGTTTGAAAAGCGGGCGAATTACATCTGAACGGAGGAAGAATCTCTCGCAAATGAACAGCGAAGGGCGCAGTGAAAAACGATAAAACAAATCTTCAAAGCGCCTTGTATTCATGGTTAGGCACCCTCGGCTGTGTTAAGTGTACGCGTCACTGCCACGACATCTACCCCCGGTCCCCTCGCAAAAACATGGCGGAGAACCTGGCTCCGGACGACGTGAACCTCGACCGGTCGAGGCCCTTCTGGTGGCGCAGGCTCACGGACTGCGATCCCATCTCGCTGGAGCCGCTGCGCCGGCTGCGTGTCGAGCCGTTTGAGCTCGCCGCGAGCGAGGAGACTTCTCACTCCTACTTCTTCGACGCGAGGCTGCTGGCCTCGTACCTGGTGAGCTCGGGCTCGTTCGCGCATCCGATCTCGAGGCGCGAGCTCACGCGCGACGACTGCGTCCGGCTCGACGCCCACCTCCGCAAGCACCGGCTCGGCAAGGCGTGCGTGGAGCACGCCTGGGAAAACAAGGAGGACTACAAGAGGCAGAATGCGGCAACGAGCCAGGTGCGCGACATCCAGGCGGAGGCGACGGAGCTGCTCCGCGCCTTCTACGCCGCCTCTGGCCACGACTCCGGCGCCCTCCGCGGCGGCGGCCGCGGCGGCCGAGGCCGAGGCTTTGGCCGCGGAGGCGGCGGCGGAGGGGAGGAGGCGGCGGCCAGGCACGACTACGTGGACGAGGAGGAGTTTGTGGAGAGCGTGCCGCTCGGCGGCGCGCAGATCTCCTCTGCCGCCGACTTCCCCTCCCTCGGCGACGCCTCCGTGCCGCCGGCGGCGGCGGCAACTCCGCTCCAGGCCTCTTGGCTCGGGCGGGGGGGCGGCGGCCTCAGTCCGGCGGCTTCGGGCGTCGACCTGGCCAACGCGGAGGCCTTCCCAAGCCTCGGCGGCGCGGGCAGGGGCGGCGGCGCGCCGCTCAGCGCCGGAGGGTGGGGCGGGCGTGGCGGCGCCGCGCTCCGTCAGCCCGCGGCGGCGCCGGCCGGCGGCGCCAGCCTCGCGGCGTTCGCGGGGGCGCAAGGTGGGCGAGAGCCGCCGGCGGTCGACTCTGCCGAGGCGTTCCCAAGCCTCGGCGGCGGCCCCGCACCGCGGCCCTCCTCGTCCGCCGCCGGCGTGGGAGGCTGGTCCCGCGCGGTCGCCTCTGCCGCGCCGGCGCCGCCTCCGACGATGGCGCAGACCGCCTTCGCGTCTGCGGAGCCGCCGCCGTCGATCGACTCGGCGGAGGCCTTCCCGACGCTCGGCGCGGCGATGCGGTCGGGCGTGCCGCCGGCGAGGCGCCTCGACAGGGACGAGCTCGTCCGCCGCAACCGCAGCCTGCAGGCAGCGCTGTCCGGCTCGCTGGCGGGCGAGGGGCGCGAGCGCGGCATGGGTCTCTTCAAGGTTGCGTCGCTCGCTTTCCAGCGCGGCGCCTCCGACGCCACCGCCTACATCGCCGCCTTCGTCCACGTCTTTGGCAACGAGGCCGCGCTGGTGCACCTGCCGGAGCTCATCGCCCTCTGCCCCGACGCGCCAAAGCAGGCCGACCTCGGCCGCGCGTTTGACGTCTTCCGCGCGGAGCGTCTAGCCGAGCGGGGCGCCGCCGTCGAGCGGAGCGCCGCAGGGGTGGGCACGTTTGGGAGGGGGGGCAGGAGCAACGGCTGGGGCCGTGGTGGACGCCGCGGAGGAGGGTGAGTGTGGGGGAAGTGAGCTGCGTGGCGGGCGGCGCGGCGACGCGGTTACGAGTCCGAGACGCGGCGCGGCGCGGCGACGCGGTTAGTCCGAGACGCGGCGCGGCGCACAGGTTGTGTATCGGGCACCCGAACTACCGCACTGCCTCGTCTTAGAACAGCTCTCGCACTCGCTACTCTCATTACCGAAAAAAGCGCGCCCGCCCACACACCCTGCGCCTGGGCGCGCCCCGAGAGCGCGCCCCGAGAGACCGCGCGGTCGAGGCGATATCGCGGCGCCTGCTGTGGTGCCGCGAGATACAGTCCATACAGCATCCGCCCGGCCGTCGCGCGCACCACCCACTCCGGCGCTCTGGGTGACGGGGGCGCAAACTCCCCAGGGCGCGGCTCAGCCCCAACCGTCGCTTTGCTTCTCGCCGAACAATGCGGCAGAAGCGCCGGTGGCGAGCAGCAGCACAAAGCCCGAGAGGTTGAAGAAGACCTGTCGCGGTCGTGGGCATGTCAGGGCCATTGGGAGGCGGTGATGTGGCTGTGAGTCGGGAGATGAGAGGCGCGGCACTCACAGAACCCGACTCGATGACGTCGACGTGCCACATGACGATCGGCACACCGATCACCAGCGTGACGAGCGACGCGAGTAGGAAGATCGCCCAGTGGAACCCCGTCGGCGCCGAGTCGAAGAGTGACTCGCTCTGCCGCGCGAGCGCCGCCAGCGGCAGCAGCATAAGTGCATAGAGGAGGAGGCTCATCAGCGGCCACCAGTTATTGTACATCGCGCACGCGAGGATGTGCATGAAGATGGCGAGGCTCAGTAGCCCCGCTGGGACCAGGAGGCCGACGAGGTTGGACATGGTGGCCGGCGTTCCACTCGCGGGCGCCCTGGCGAGTAGAGGCCCCGCCAACGAAGGGTACCGGAGAGAGCGGGGGGGGCGCCTGGGAAATTTAGTGCGTGTGAAGGTTCCGCGTTGGGGACACCCAAAGCGCAGAACCAACCCTCGGAGACCCGTGTCGGGTGAGAGCGTACGTTATGCTCGTGTCTGGTGTTTACTAGCTCCGAGTAGAGGGGGCGTTCCGCCGCTAGGGGACACCCAAAGCGCAGAACCAACCCTTTAGGCTGAACAAGCTTTTCCTCTCGTCGCACCCCGTCTCTTTTCCTTTCCTTTTTTCTCTACAGCACCCTCTCTTTTCCTCTCTATTTTCCCGGGAAAACTCCGGGGAACCCATCAAATTTTCCGGGCTCTGAGCCGAGTCTGAGGCTGGTTTGGGCCCAAAATCAGCCAAATCGGCAAAATACCGGGTATTTTGCGGGTATACCTGGAAAACCCCAGGTATACCTGGAAAATACCCTGCGACCGCCTGGGTATCGTGCCGATTTCCTCAATTTTGCGTCAGATTTTGCCCCAGACCAGCCAGCTCTCAGACTCAGGGAAACTCGCGAGTTTCCAGAATGGAGCACCAAACACCCTCTGTTTTCCCTGGAAATTTCCGGAAACGCAAAGACCAAAGTGCTGGGGAACCTCTGTTTTCCTTTTTGTTTGCCGGAAAAGCTTGTGCAGGCCAACCAACCCTCGGAGACCCGTGTTTACTTTATGGCCCTTTCCCTGCGAACGCGAACCCCCGGGGCTAGGGCTCTCTAGCCCGTAACCCGACACCGATCATCCGGCTCGCTGGGTGCGCTTCTTAGCTCCCCGGCCCTGGATGTGAGGTTGATAACTGCACTCCAAGTGCTCCAAGTGAAGGCTTCGCCCAGCACCACTCGCAACAGCTCTCGCGCGCCGCCGTCTGTGGCGACGCGCAAAACATCAACAACGCTGCTCGCAACATGCGTGTCGCGCACTCATTCATGACCGGTCTCAATGTCCCACCCCCTGCGCGCGGGCCTTCTCTAGGCCCGTGGGTAGTCTCACCCCATCCCCAGGGCTTGGGCTAGAGCAGGTTTTCCGGAAAACAAAAAGGAAAACAGAGGGTCCCCAGCACTTTGCGTTTCCGGAAATTTCCAGGGAAAACAGAGGGTGTTTGGTGCTCCATTCTGGAAAGTCGCGAGTTTCCCTGAGTCTGAGAGCTGGTCTGGGGCAAAATCTGAGGCAAAATTGAGGAAATCGACAAAATACCCAGGCGGTCGCAGGGTAAGTTCCAGGTATACACGGGTTCTCCGCAAAATTCCCGGCATTTTGCCGATTTGGCCTAAAATTTGGCTGATTTTGGGCCCAAACCACGTGCCTCGCCGGCCGGCGATATTGCTAGAGGCGGAGTTGTCTGCTCTAGTCTCACATGTTACTTCCTGTCGTCTGTTGTTTGTTGTGCCCTTGTTTGTTCTCTTGGCACCTTGCTCCTTGGAGTGCTGGGGGGGGCGACAGGGAGGATGTGGCCTTGAGTTATGTGTACGCCAACTCAGGGTGTGTGGCAGCCAGCTGGCTGTGTGTCTTGTGAGCCTGTTTGTGTCTGTGTGTCGCTCGTGCGTGTCGTCATCATCTGTCTAGCGTCCACCCATACCGCGTTGGTGTCCAGTCCGAGCCTGGCTGTTCTTCACCTTTCTACCTACCTACCTGCTACCTGCGGCCGAAGGGTAATTTCCAGGTATACACGGGTTCTGCGCAAAATTCCCGGCATTTTGCCGATTTGGCGGCCTAAATTTTGGCTGATTTTGGGCCCAAACCAGTCTCAGACTCGGCTCGGCGCCCAAAATTTGACGATTTCCACGGACGGAGTTTTCCGAAAATATAGAAGAAAAGAGAGAGCAAAAGAAAAGTGCGAGAGGCAAACCTGCTACAGCCCAACCACAGACAATCGCAGAGCGAGAAAAAAGAAACAAATACGGGCCAGAACGGAGGCTGGGCGCTGTATTGCAATTTCTCGCATTTACTTGATATCCCGGCGCGTCCCGATAAACCCGCCCAGAAACAGAAAGAAGTCTTTCTTTCTTTCTGGTCCCCCCCCCTGCCTTCCTTTCAGCTTTCTGGAGAGCGATCTCGCACACAAAAGCTTTTGCAAAAATACCATTGGGTTTGTACTATTAACAACGAAGGCGCTCTCAAAAAAAGAATCCCATCTGATCAATCGTGTAATGCGTGCTGCTGAGGAGGACGCCGCCGCGTCTCCATTCGCCCGCCTCCCTGACGCTCTTGTTGCGCTCGTCCTCTCCCACCTCTCCGACGTCGCCTCGATCGGTCGCGCGCTCACCGTCTCGCGCGGCTTTGCAGCGGCCGGCACAGCCGATGCCCGCCTCGTCTGGGCTCGCGCCGCGGCGGCGCTGCAGTGGCGGCTTCGGCGGCGAGAGAGCGAGACGGGCCGCGAGCTGTGTGTACGCGCGAACGCGCGCAGGCAGCGCATCGCAGTCTTTGGCGGAAGCTGCGATGGCAGTCCTCTTTACACGCACGACATGTACGACGTGGCTCCGCAGGAGTGGCTGCCCTCCCCTTTCTTGTTCACCACGTACCCCAGAGATGCCTCGGCGCTGGCGAGCGACGGCGCCACCGTGGCCCTGCTCGGAGGCTGGGGAGGCACGCGGGCGGTGCGGGCGGTGGAGGCGGCCTCGCTCACGGAAGAGGCTCGCTCGTGGAAGAGGCTGACGCCGCTCCCCCGCCGGCTCTGCTTTGGCGCGGCGCAGATGGACGCCTCGGGCCGGCTCTGGTTTGCGGGCGGAGGCGTCGAGAGCTCTGCCGCCGCCGGATCGCTCCCGTGCCCACGGCCACACACCCACGCTGGCGTGCTGGCCGCGTATAGGCTCCTCAATCTACCGGGGCGCGCGCTGCCACGGCGAGGTGCTGCACCTCGACGGCGGGGCGTGGCGCGAGGCGGGCGAGCTCGTGTCGCCGCGGTGTGGCCTCGCCGTCGCCGCCGACGCGCGCTCCTCCTCCTTCTTCGCACTCGGCGGGTATGCAGGAGGCACGCGCTACCTCTCCACCGCCGAGGCCTTCGACACGGCGACCGGCAAGAGCACGCCGATCCCGAGCATGGGGGTTGCGCGCTCTGGCCCGGGCGCCGCCGTCGGGCCCGACGGAGCCCTGTACGTCGTGGGCGGCTCGTCGGACGGCTGTGTCTCACTGAGATCGGCGCAGACGACGCCGCGGCGCGAGCCCGCTGCGAATGCTGCGCCTGATTAGATCATTCCGAGCGCTATAGGCCGAGCGCTACGACCCGCGCGAAGGGCGGTGGGAGCCCCTCCCGCCACTGCCCACCGCACGCGGGTACTTGGGCGCGACGTTCGCGCTCGACGGCCGCTTGTACGCCGCGGGCGGCGCGGAGTGGCCCGGCGGAGGGGGCGGAGAGGAGGAGGAGGAGGAGGAGGGGGCGAGCGACGCATTTGAGGCGTTTTGCCCGCGCACCGGCCGGTGGGAACGTCTCCCGCCGCTGCCTGCCGGTCGCGCGAATCTGGCGGTCGCGGTTGTGTTCTCGTGAAGGTGAGAGGTGTGGGACTGGCAGCCTTCGGTCGTAAATTCTTTTTCCCTTTAGCGATCGACTGCGAGCTCTGTCTGGTATAGCCCCAGCCGACTCCGCGCTCTCGAGGGATCTCGAGTGGCGGAGCTCCCTGCTGCTCGGTACGAACTCTGTTCACACCGTGCAGCTGCGAGTCGCTGGATTCGACACTTCAGCTTGGTATAGTATCATTGTATGCTTCTCGAGGGGGTATCAAGGTATGCTCTAGGCCTCTGTGGGGACTTATCTCGGCTGGGTATCAAGGTATCATCGGCGGCCGCGCAGCGAAGCGACAATTCACACCTCGCACCGAGGACCAAGCCCTCCCGCACGGTCCGCCCCGGTATCATTCAAACTCTTTGCGCTTCCGCCGTACCCGCGCGCCACGCGCCCACCAGCTGTTGCGCGCGCAATGCGCCCTCCTCGCCCAGCGCATTGCTTAGTGGTGCGCTCGCCTCCCTCCTGCGCGACGCTCATTCGAGCGCGTTGTCTGTCTTGGCGCGCGCGCAGCGCGCGAAGAGGTGTGAAGAGGGGGGTCGTGTCCGGTGTGAAGGGTAACCCACCAGGGTATCAGCCTATCCTCTAGGGGCCCAATGCGGGTCCTCTCAAGAGGGTATCAGGGTATAGCCCTGGGGTATGATCTTGCATACAATGATACTATACCAAGCTGAAGTGTCGAATCCTGCGGCTATAGCAGCTGCGAGCTCAAGACAAGCGTGGCGTTCGTATGCCGTCCCTCGCCGATCACCTCGCCTCCCTACTGCGCCTACTGTGGAAGGTGCTCATGGCTCCGCTCTGGTTCTTCGATCGCGTCGACAAGGAGAAGGCGGTCCTCGCGGTGCCGCCAGCAGTGCGCCGACGCATGCTCAAGCTCATGTTCGGGCCGACGCTCGCGTGGACGATGCTGCTGCACCGCGCGATGCCCGACCAGCGCCGCTGGTACGACCGTGTGGATGAGCGGCTCATCCTGGGCGCGCTGCCGCTCGAGAAGTCGCTCGAGAGCCTGGCGCGTGTCGAGCGCGTCTCGGGTGTCCTCAACATGTGCGACGAGTTTGACGGCCACGCGAGCTACGGCCGGCTCGGAATCACGCAGCTGAGGCTTCCGACGATGGACTACTGCTCGCCCTCCGCGCAGCAGGTGGAGAACGGCCTCGACTTCATCCGCAAGCAGCCCCCGGGAGGGACGGTGTACTGCCACTGCAAGGCGGGCCGTGGCCGTGCAGGCGCGCCCGTCCGCGCGGCCACCCGGACGCCTGGCGTTGCCGACCCGGCCCTCGCCGTCCCACCCGGACCCTGCCCCGCGCCCGTCCCCGGCCCGCCGCCGCTGTCTTGCAATCGTCTCCTGCCGCCGCCTCTCCCTCTCCCTCTCGCTCAACGGCCTACGCCCGCCCAGGCCCGCCACCCACGCCGCCGACGCACCGCCCCTCCATCGCGCAGGGACCATGGCCATGGCCTACCTCATCACCGAGAAGGGGATGACGCCGGCACAGGCGCAGGCGGAGCTACGGCGCATCCGGCCGCACGTCTCGCCGCGGCTCTGGCGCCGCCCGCTGCTCGAGAGGCGCCGGCCAATGGCGTGTCCCGTGACACGTGCTGCGACGTGCCGCGTAGGTCGCGTCCCACTGTGCGCGAGATGTACCGTCGAGCCACCTACCGGCGCATGCAGCCGCAAGAAGGGCAAATGCAGCAGCCGCAGCAGCAAGCGCCGCCACAACAGCAGGCGCCGCCGCAGCAGGCGCCGCTAGCGCAGCAGCAAGCGCCGCCGCCGCAGCCGATGACGGCGGGCGGGCAGTGGACCGGGGCGGCGGGCGGCGGTGATGGCGCAGCGGCGGCGGCTGGCGGCGCGCCTCAGCCGCCCCAGCCGGCGGGCGGCTTGTGGCCGGGGGGCGGCGAGAACTAGGCGCGGCCTTCGCGAGTGTGCGGTGTACGCGCGGCCGAAGCAGTGGGTGGCTGTTAGTCACGTCAGAGAGGACACACAGGGCATCTCACACTCTCGCCGTGTTTTCGTAGCTCCGCTTCCTCTCTCGCGCCGCGCCGACGGCCGCGGTGAGGGTGTAGAGAGGCGAGCGATTTGCTTTTTGTGAGACGCGGCTGTGAGACATCGTCTTCCTCTTTGGGCCAGGTACCAATTTTGTCGAATTTATTTCAAAATCTGCAGGCGCGGAGCGCCTGCGAAAATTTTGAAGAAATTTGCAGTCGGGCCTGATTTTCATCAAGATCTTTCAAATTTGCGGTGTGGAGTTGGGGGGTGTGGGTTAGGTTAGGCGGTTATTAGGGTTAGAGGGTTAGGGTTAGGGTTAGGGTTAGGGTTAGGGTTAGGGTCAGGGTCTGGTTGTGTCTGTATATGCCAGCGTTGCAGGGTTCTGCGCTGGGATCTGGCCCCACCACAGCGCCGACGACTAGAAAGTAATATATCTTTACTTCCAAAACCCGGACGTGCCTCCACCGGCACGCCGCTTCCGACAGGGCGATGGAAGGTTCGACGCACCCCCGGACTGGGCGGAGAGGTCCCAGGGCACGCTCCTGGGCTGTCCGCCCCGCCCCCACTTGCCCTGACTGCACAGGATTGCGTGCCCCGACGAACGGCGACACATAGCGGGGGACACTGCGCCGGGGGGTATGCCTAACTTTGGTGCTTTGTGTGGGTCGCGTTCCCTTGGTAGCTGTGTGGTTGAAGCCCTCGTGCCGCTGGCTTGCCCCTTCCAGCGGCTGGCCCCTCGAGACTGTCGGTGCTTGGCGGGAGGAGGGGAAGAGGGAGGCCCGGTGGGAGGAGAGGGAGAGGGAGGCCGGGTGGGAGGGGAGGGAGAGGGAGGCCGTCTTGGGCTCTTCTCCTCCCCCCTCCCTGGGCTCTTCTCCTCTCCCCACCCTGGGCTCTTCTCCCCTCCTCCCTGGTACTCTCGGCCTGATTACCGGAGCGACTGCCGGAGCAGACGCTGGGGGGACACTCGCGCCCGGAGGCGGTACGCACGACCCGGAGGCGTGGGGATGGGGGGGGGCCGCGCCGCCGCCGCCGTGCCGCCTTCTCCCGCTTTGACCTCCCCCAGCTGCTTCTCCTCAAATCAACCTGTGAGCTTGCGAGGCGGCGGGGGTGGGAGTGCTCTCGGGCGGCGTGTGCGAGCGCGCGTGGCGCGAGATCTCTTTCGCGAGGGCACGGTGGGTCGGGTGAGTATCTCGCGCGCTCGCACTATTTCACGTTATATCAAGCACTGCCTTTGATGCCTTTGCAAGAACCGCCAGCGGCGGTGGTCGAACCGGTTCGCGGTTCGAGCCGGGACCTTTTGGCTCCCGGTTCGGAACTCGCTTGGAGGGTTGCTTCGCTCTCGCGGAGCGAGCGCGGGCGCGTGGGTGCGTGTGCGCGTGCGCTGCTGCAAGGCGAGGCGAGGCGAGGCGCGGGGCGGCGCGGCGCGGCGAGGCGGGCGGCGGCGGCGCGCGGTCGTTCTTTTTGCCCGGGTGAGGCGTGGCTTGCGCGCCGCGCGGTGATGACGCAGCACGCTGAAAAGTCCTTGGTGAGCCACCGCGGTGGCAGCGAGCCAAAGCAAGCCACCTGCCGCATGACGGGTTGACCGACGGCGTCGGATGCAATCCAGCGCCGACGACTAAGACTCAGCCCCACACGCTGACCTACGGCTTTAGGGTTAGGGTTAGGGTTAGGGTTAGGGTTAGGGTTAGTCTTCTTGTGTTTGTATGCCAGCGTTGCAGAGTTCTGCGCTGGGATCTGGCCCCAGCGCCGACGAGTAAGACTCAGCACCGCACGCTGACCCCACCAAATGCCGCCTCAGGGCGCCAGGCCGCCAGCCACTTCTTACACGCGGCCGGCGCCCTCTCGCGGCAAAAGGGTCGAGCGAGCGGGCAGAGTCGCGATGTCTGCGCACCCGCGTGCCGATGGGCGGCACACGCAACCGAGAGAGGCCCTGTCGCGCCGCCAGTAGCGTTCCGCACTCCCCACGCCACCAATTGCCGCCTCAGGGCGCCAGCCACCTCTTACACGCGGCCGGCGCCCTCTCGCGGCAAAAGGGTCGAGCGAGCGGGCAGAGTCGCGATGTCTGCGCACCCGCGTGCCGCGATGGGCGGCACACGCAACCGAGAGAGGCCCTGTCGCGCCGCCAGTAGCGTTCTCCGCACTCCCGACGCCACCAATTGCCGCCTCAGGGCGCCAGCCACTTCTTACACGCGGCCGGCGCCCTCTCGCGGCAAAAGGGTCGAGCGAGCGGGCAGAGTCGCGATGTCTGCGCACCCGCGTGCCGATGGGCGGCACACGCAACCGAGAGAGGGCCTGTCGCGCCGCCAGTAGCGTTCCGCACTCCCCACGCCACCAATTGCCGCCTCAGGGCGCCAGCCACCTCTTACACGCGGCCGGCGCCCTCTCGCGGCAAAAGGGTCGAGCGAGCGGGCAGAGTCGCGATGTCTGCGCACCCGCGTGCCGATGGGCGGCACACGCAACCGAGAGAGGCCCTGTCGCGCCGCCAGTAGCGTTCCGCACTCCCCACGCCACCAATTGCCGCCTCAGGGCGCCAGCCACCTCTTACACGCGGCCGGCGCCCTCTCGCGGCAAAAGGGTCGAGCGAGCGGGCAGAGTCGCGATGTCTGCGCACCCGCGTGCCGATGGGCGGCACACGCAACCGAGAGAGGCCCTGTCGCGCCGCCAGTAGCGTTCCGCACTCCCCACGCCACCAATTGCCGCCTCAGGGCGCCAGCCACCTCTTACACGCGGCCGGCGCCCTCTCGCGGCAAAAGGGTCGAGCGAGCGGGCAGAGTCGCGATGTCCCTGCGCACCTGGGTGTTCGCCGCCTATATGCTCTATCCTGTGCCAAGACGGACACATTTTGACAATCAAAATCTACCTCAAAATTTGCGGCCGCCCCTCGAAATTTGCTGATCAAAATTTGCGGTGGCCCGGATCGAAACCTGTACTTTGGCCAACGTTCCCTCTATCCTCTTCGAGCACCGAGCACGCAGCACGTTCCACGTTGCGCGAAGGCGCGAGTTTGGCAGGCGGAGGCCGGAGCCGCAGCCGGGACCGGCGGGAGCCGGAGGTGGCAGCAGCAGCACGCGCGTGTGGCGGGCGGCGGCAGAGCACAGGGGTCAGGGCGCGAGACCCCCCGGTCCCCGCGCGACACTCCAGCGTCCAGGATTCCCGGGAAGCCGCGGAATCTGGTCTCCGCCACGACCCAGCGGTGTGCTATTTTTCGCTCAAATTGAGGACAGTTGCGTGGCCAGCGTCACAGACGCAAGGGCGACGAAGTGCGCGCGCAGAACTCGGCGCCGGTCAAATGACAGAGCTAGGACAGCTGCCGCTGCCGCGCCCGCGCCCTCGGCGGCGGCTGCAGAGCGCCACCGCGCGAGCATAGCCGCCAATCGCAAGCCGCGCTCACGCTCCGCCATGGAGCGGCGCGCGGCGCGAGCCGACGCGGCGCCGGACCAGTAGCGGAGCACCCGGCGCAAGCGGTGCCCCGCAGCGAGCCACCGCAGCATGACGGCGGACGCCGTGTAGCCACCCCACGCGCTCAACACGCGCTGCGCCAGCCGGCGGCGAGCAGCCCGCCTGCGAGCCAAGGCACACATCTCCAGACTGTTCACAATCGGGGGGGGGGGGGGGGGGCATGCTCCGCCTGTGGCCGTCGAGCGCGATCAAGTTGCGCCTCGCGCGTCGTATCGCACCTCGGGCCGCCACGGCCGCCGCGGCGTGCGACCGCAAGGCGCCGAACGCTGTGCGGCAACTCGTGCCCCGCAGCTGCAGCGCGGCGTCCCCCTCGCGCCGCCCCAACAGGGCCTCGCGCCACACCTCGGCGCGGCGGCGGGACACCGCCGCGCGCAAGCGCATCCATGCGCCATAGAGCGCGCACCTGCCAAGTACGTCACACGCGTAAGCAATCCTTAGTCACGCTCCCCCCACTAGGCCGCGAACACGCACTGCGTGGCCGCGAACACGCTCCGGTGCGCGTGGTAGGCGAAGCGCCGCCACCTCTCGAGGGACGCGGCGACGCACGCGGCAACCCGCCGCTGGGCCAGCGCCCAAGTGACGCGCCGCTGGCGGTGGAGCTGCAGTGTATGCACGGCCCTCCGCACGGCGGCCTCGCAGCGCGCGGTGGCAAGCTCGCCCGAGAGCCGCACGTGCTCGACCGAAGCTGCGGCGCGGCGTTCCGCCCGCCGGAGAGCGCCGAACGCCTCGGCAGCGTGGCGGCGGCGCAACGCGGCGTCGTGTCGCTGCGCGGCGAGACTGCGGCGGCGCGACTGGGCGAGCTGCGCGAGCAGCGCGCGGTAGCACTGCAAGAGCAGCCTACAGTGCCGCAAGCACGCGCGTCCAGCAACGGTCCAGCGGCAGGAGAGCGCGCGGGAGTGCACAGCGACCTCCGTCGGCGGTGGTCGGTGGCAGCGCGGTTGCCCGCGAAGTCAACGGCAGTACGATGCGCGACTCCTCGCCACGCCAGCAGAGCCCGCATTTGCCTCCGCCGCGCCAGCTGGGCTCGCCCGAACGCCTACTCACGGGACCTCCGCACGGTCGGGTGCAACGGCGCAGAGGGAGCGGAACCCCCTTGAGTCGCCGAGCCAAAGCGTCGGCCGTGGAGCGCGAGGCGGAAGCGACGGCGCGCCACGCCGCGAGCGAGCGGCGCCGCCGCGCCAATTCTCCAAGCCCGACTGCAGCCACGGCGCGCCGCCCAAAAACAGCTTCAGACTGGCCGCGCCGGACAGCGCCGCGCAGCGTCGCCGCCCGCCGCCGCACAGCAGCGCCCGCCTGCCGGCGGCGGGTGGCGGCGGCTGCGGCGGCGACCCCACACCAGCGGCAGAACCAGCCTCGCCTTGCATGCAACGCCGCCGCGTCGCCGCGCCGCGCCGCCTCGCCCCTTCGCCCCGCCTCGCCACGCCACGCATCGACGGCGCGTGCGATGAGTCCGGACGCACGGCGCGCGGAGAGAAGCTCGATGCTACCCCTCCGCGCCAATGCGTGCCCGGTCGCACGCCGCCATGTGGCCAGCGCGCCGCCGCTGGCAGCCGCCGCGTGGTGTGCGCGCGCAACGGACGCGCTGTGCGCCTCGGCGGCGCAATCCACCCAATAGCGCAAAGCGCGCGCCTACAGCAGCCACGCCACGCGCAGGTCGCCTGGAGGAGGGTTGAAGGCGCGGAGGCGTAGTGCGAGGGAGCTCCTTGAGCTTGTGCGCCCTGCAAGCCATTAAGTGCGCCACTAGAGACTCGACCTCCGCAGAGCGCTGCTGCCGCCGCCTGGACGCGTCGTAAGCCTCCCGAAGCCGCCCACTCTCCCTCGCCCCACGCACCCTCCGCCCGCGCACTCCCGCTCCCTCCTCCCCCGCCGCCCTCGCGGCACCGAACCACAGCGCAAATGCGGTCGCGAGGCGCGCGCCGCGCGCGTGCGACCGCGCCCGCCTCGCCCGGTGCTGCGACCGCCGGTGGTTGGCTGCCAGCCCCCGCCAAGCCGCAAGGGACGCGAGCGCCTGAGGCAGACGTCTCACGGACAGGTCAGGGGCACGTCTCCTCCTCTGCCAAGCCACAGGAGAGCGGCAGGCCGTGGCGAAGGCGAGCCGAGCCCGACTCTGGTGCACAGCGCGCAGCATCGCCGTGTGAGCGGCCCACGAGGCCAGCGCATCGGCGCACCGGCGCGTCGGCAAACGGCGCGCCGCGACGGCTGCGGCGCGAGAGAGCGCCTCGAGGCGGATCGCACCGGTCCGCCAGAATGCCAGGGCCGCGGCGGAGTCGGCGCGGCGCCGCGTTCGCAGCAGGAGGGCAGCTGACCTCGACTCGGCTGCGCGCGCCGTCCAGAGAGCCCAGACCGGCCGGGCCGCCGACACCGCCCGCCGCCTCCGGGCAGAGCCCAGCTTCCTGGCCACCTCCGCCGCCGCCGCCTCCTCCGCCGCCCAGCTTTGGAAGGCGGCTCTGCTCCGGGCGCGACGAGCGTGCGCCTCGCCTCGAGCCGCAGACAGCGAGGCGGCGAGTCGCAGCTGTGCGGCCTCCCTCCACGCCGCGAGGGCACGCCGCTGCTGCGCGCGACTCGCCCGCAGCTGCGCGCTCGCCGCCCGGGCGGCCAACTCGGCGGCGGCGCGCCAGACGGTGACAGCGACGCGGCGCCGGCGCGCGTGGAGCGCCCGCCTAAATTCGCCGAGGTTCGCCGAGATGTGTCCAGAGTTGTCGAGGTGGAGCCGAGGTGGCTCGGAGGTGGCTCGGAGGTGGCTCGGAGGTTGGTCGCCTGAGCACGCGCCACGCGGCGGCCACCTCGCGGCGGGCGGCGGCGTGCTCGCTCCAGCGGCGCAAGCCTCGCATGCGCAGTCTGCGAGTGCGTGCGGCGCCCAGGGTGGTGAGGATAGTGCCGGGGGCGGGGAGGGTGGCGGGGAGGGTGGGAGGGGGTGGGAGAGGGTGGGAGAGGGTGGGGGGGGGCTAGGCGGAGTGCACCGGTGCTCGAGGTGGCGGATGGCGGGCCGCAGCAGCCCTCGCCGCAAGGCTCGCGCGGTCGCGTGTGCACGAGCCAGCGCGAGGCACGCGGCG